GAACTGTATAATAATTTAACATAAATATTTTAACAAAAAAAAATTAATTTCAGTTAAAACCTCAACACAAATAAGAGTAAAAAATCTAAAATGAGTTAATCGATTCTTACCAATAAGCTATACTTTCCAGTTACCCAGTAGTTTTTACTTTAATAATAATCTATATGACTCTTAAACCAGGATCGTACTTGGAATATCATAGAGCCCATTAAACCCTTATAGGAATATTTTTTACATTTTAATTGAACATATAATCTAATAGAACTTGTACACGCTGCGACCTGCGTGTTCGTTTTTTATCATGTATTCGGTTCGAGTACAACATTATTATCTAGTTAATTGCGCAATTCGTTTTAATGATCTCGATTACATGTTTATAAGTATAATAGTGTCAATACAACAGCGCACTCTATATTTTATACAGCGATTTGATTTTTGTACACGGAATAATATTGTACGATTGTAGATTCTAATAATATTCAATACTTATAATAAACGTTAGTTGTGCGCTTCTAATTTTCAATAACATATTTTTTTTCAAATTTTAACATCAACAAAATGTCAATATTTTGTATGGTACCTATCTCTAGAAATCAAAGTGTTGATATAAATTGCGTGATTTAAAATAAGTTGATTATACAATCCATCACAGTACAACGGGCGTCTTTGTATAGAGGCATCTGAACATAATTGGTTATTTCAATTAACAAGCAGACGATAATTGGAATAATCAATGTGCCTCAAATGTCTCCATATACAAAGCCCAATTATTCTAATTTAACTAAATGCGCATTTTACTCAATTTGTGTAATGAACTGCCTTCATACTCTATCAATTAGAATATAAATTTTAATACATTCTCAAAGCGCTTCTTAAAAATGTATATACCTTTTTTATACTCTTGGTTAATTCTGACTGCCTTGACCACTGTCCAGCGAAAAGATTCATTAGTTTCTGCGTTTCGTTCAAAATGGTTTTGTTGTTTAAACAATAATAACTTAGTCTCGGTCGAGGTGATTAAGGATACGTTTGAAATTGAAATTATTTTATTTGAAAAGTTCCAGGACATTTTTTACGGCGGCCCATATATTTATTTTATGCTAAACTAAATCGAAATAAAATTCAAAACTCGAGCTTTAATAATAACGCACTCGGATAATATAATATTTAAAAAAAAACATAACATGACATTCCAAATATAGAATAATATTCAATACCATCAGCCGATGAGGAAAAAATGCGCAGCAATTCGTGGACAAATATTTTTTTTTTTCGAATTTATTGAGTTATGAGGCAATTAGCGAATGAAAATCTACTTTTTCCGTGTCTTTTTTTTTTTTATATCGTTGGTGTAAAAAATGAAAGAAATAAAAATAAAACTTTAAACCGATTCGTTACTAAGGAACAAGTATAATTTCTTCGGTTATCGGTGTACAAGAAGAAAACCGTACGGGGATCGACATCTGCGAAAGGTATCGCGTTACCCTTCGGGCCGCTGGAGGGGTAACCACCCCCTATCTCTCTAGATGGTTTTTTGTGTGTGTATATATGTACACGGGGACACGACTTCCCGGTGGTCGTACACAAATTTGCCGGGGAGGAGGGCTGGTTGTTAATGTGCGTTTAGCCGGCGGCAACGACAAATGTTTTATGCGGGGACTACGACGGTTGAATTCAGATTTATTGGTCGCCGGGGTACAGTTAAAATCGGATACACCGACCGGGTGAAGGGCCAGAGGGGAAGGCGGCGTGTGCTTTTTTCCGCGACACCGACCGTTGTGTGTGTTACGGCTCGCACTAGTGACCAAAGGGCTGAGCTAAAAAATATTGTTTTTTTGTTATACATATATACAGTTTATCGGTTTTGAATTTCGCTTTTCGTTCCACAACACACAACGTCGGAATCGTTATTATTTGCAGGTAAAGCAATCAAATAGAATATCAATAGGTAGTATCATCTCATAGTCAAAAAATAATTTTAACGCTATCAGTATGGGAGAATGGGGGAATACCAGTCAGCGGGTAACACGGTAATACCGGTCAATGGAGTATCTCCCTAAAATAATATTATGATTTTTGTTTTTTGTTTTGTTTTGTTTTAGTCACGTTTATCAACGTTTATCAAACACAGGGTATAATTACCGAAACATGTATTATTAGTTCGGAGTCCTGACAAAAAACATTTTTACATATTATGATTTATGACTATAATAATTAGAATACGATGTTTTTGTTAACTATATAAATAATACTTTCAAATGCGTATCGTTATGGCTAAAGAGTAATTTATTATACAAAATTACATTTCTTAATGATATTGTCATACCAACGCAACAATGAAATTAATTTAGCCAGTAAGTGGCTAGCTTTTCGTAAGTTCATTAAAATTGTCTAAGTAGGCATAAGGATTGTATAAGTAGGTTTTAATAATAATAACATTATATTGAAGTACAATAATATTCGTATATAATATTCAAATGATTGTTTTTTGTTTATTTATAAATACAATTCGCTATAATTATAACGAGACGGGACTGTTTTTGTTAAGCATTTAAATTGTTAATTGTCTTTTTTGTCGATTTTGACTGTTTCAAGTTTCATTTGAATTTGAAATATCAAGAAACCAATTACCACTGTTAAAATCTAAAATGTCGGAAAAAAAATTATAAACTCATGATTGCATTGTAATATTATTAAAAATCAATTTATTCACAGTCAGTAATTGTCGAAATGACAACTCGAAAATTTCATACGGCATGAGCTTAAAGTCTGTATGTAACATATATAGAGAAGCATATTGTACCTAAAAAACAACAATGATAATCGTTTTTTTTTTGTCGTTCTTACTATAGAGTGAAAATACAAATTAAGCGTTGATATTATTACTGATTTAATGTCTGATTTTCCATACTTCTTGACATCATTTAATATACTTTGAATTTTCATGACCTATAGACATTTATGAATATTACATTATAATACATTGGCAATAATAATAATTTTCAGAAATAGAAATATTTATAAACATTGTAAATATAAAATATTTATAATAGCCCGAATATTACCGTAAAGTCTATTGCATAAAAAATTACGAAGTAAATGGATTTACTAAAATCGGTAATGTTTGGTCTATTAGTGTTACTGTGTTAAATAGACCGGAAACGTTACCTCCTTTTTGCAGTTTTGACAAATCTGAAATAAGTGCACGACGAATCTTACTCGAATTAAGGCTGTTATCATCCAGGCACTTGAACGGTATTTATGGCTTTCTCTAAAAGCTAAAACCGAGACAAATGAGAAAAAAAACGTTTCACACATGCTGTATATCACGTAGACGATGATGAACGCGCCGAATACATTGTTGGTAAGGTATTCGGCCAAGTTTTTTAGCTTCTTCCATCTTTTACGATACGATTTCCATTTTGATACCGACGTGATGTCGTCGTTCATTCGACGGACACCGTTTTGGATGATCAAAATCAGAACCACGTATTGAGCAAGCGGTACGGACACCCAGATGTTGTAAAACGTAATGTGTATCAAGCTGTAGAATGAGTACACTCCGAAATTTTCAGTGATCCAAAATGTAAGGAAATGCAAATAATCCGTTGCGACGCTCAACGACACCCAGCCATAAAAGTACCGCGAATAAAGCGACAACGGAGTGTGTTCAACGGACGGTATAAGGTCGTCCAGTTTTTGTACTGTTTTAATTATAATGTTTCTAGTGAAAAATATCGAGCATATCGCTATTACCGGGATAAAGGTCCTCGCGAAGTAACGGATAACAGCCAAGAACGACATGATATCCATAAAATCTTTCATGATGTACCGATGCTGAAAGTCCATAAATATATAGTAACACACAAACGTCGAGTTGGAAACCAGTAAAAACCAGTATTCCAACAATGCCATTTTCGAGTCTTCGTGTTGAAATCCCAATCCAAACAATCGACAGAAAAATATGGTCGGCCTTATACGTTCGAGCAGTGTAGCCATGATTTGATTGATACTGGCAGTTTAACAGTTAAAAAGTAAAGTTTTCTTAAACATTTCAAAACTTACCTGGTTTTACGGCAGTCGACTGATCAGTACTGATCGAACTGTAGGTATACTGTTTTACGAGCAAGACCTTTCAATGGATTCGGTTGAACGGTCAGCCAAGTATACACCAAACATCGTGCCACACCTTTCGAAGAGTTAAGTATTTTACGTTGTATTGAATTGTATTTTGAAAATTATGTTTCTTATTTGATCTAAATGTTGTATTATTTATTATGTAGTACTAACATAATTAATTTATTAAGTAGAAAGTTTTTTAAAATGCAAATGGATAGTGCGCATAGAGTGGACATTGTGTTGTGATGTGATGTATGACACTTATGAACGATGAATGAATATATAGTATATTATAATATCATTGTTTATCCTAATAAAATAAAATGTTATTGTATTAAAATGGGTTTAGAAATTTAAACACAAGAATCAATAACGAAATATTTAATATTTATATGTTATTATAAAAAAGACAATTTTATTTAATTCATTTTATATCTCACTGTACTTTTAAGATCACGTATATCAATAGTAGGTATAGTTAATTAGTTAAATAAAAACACTAAACATTTATATCTTTGGAAGTAGATTACTTCACTTCAGTATTTCACCATTCTCACGATAGCGCATCAATAAACAAAGGAAATATCATTTTAAAAACATACTGACGTTTATTTATACTTAAATGTGAGTATCAAACTTTTCCTTACGTACAGCAAGTTAATTATTATTTTTAGCCTTAAAAAATAAGAACTTTCCACTTTTTCAACAACTTTTCAACTTGTATGTGTGCACAGTGTATTAATTTGAACAATCGTTTAAATTAATATCATCATCTTCATTCCCGGTCTTATACAATAATATTATCGTAGATAAATGTCATAAATACCATCGGTCAACCATAGGTTTTCGTTTTGACAAGAACAGATTAATTATCATTGTAATTTTGAAATACTCGCGGTCATATATTTTATAAATAGTATTACTATAATTGTAGTCGTTTGAAAATAGCTATAAAAAATAATTGTATTACATACTTTAGTAGAAATATAATATTGTGTATAATATAATAACAATTACAACGATGGAGTCTACATAAACCCAATCGGATTGCCGAACTCATACTGTTCGGCGTACCCGCGGTCGATGATGTGCCTGACTGTGGCCGACAGGATAGCCGTGATCTTCTCGTCGGCCGCTTCCATCCGGTTGGCCAGTTGGTTCTGCAGGGTCAGCTTATCCACTTCGAGCAGTTCCTGAGGGTTTTCGTTGATCATGTTGGGCACGGCGAACGACAGGTGCGCGTACCCGTAGAGCGCGTGGAGCCTGAGCTCCCGGTGCAGCTGCCCCGAGGTGGGCGCCCTAACGTCCTCGGGAAGCACCGACATGACCGCGTCCAGGTAAACGGCCAGCAGGTCGTCCCACCGTTCGTTCTGCACCTCCTGCGTGGCGTTTTTGTACAGGAAGTACGACAGGTCCAACCCGGGAGAGCCATACCTGCACAAGAACACGGAACAGATAAAAATCACAGATAGACACAGTACACAAAATATTCAGCAGCTATTTTATATCAGCAAGTCGAGATTAACCATTAAAAAACCCAATTTGGATAATATGGCGTACGACTCGTCCAGTTCATCTTGACACTTCGTGACGTCACACGTCTGTACGGTACAGGGGTTCGAAACTCATGGTCGCGCATCAGTGTTACCAGTTCAAGGGAAATATAAAACCACGGTCCACTGTTTAGCGGCACTGACTGACATTGTTACGAGTTAATCAAATACCAACAATAATGTTTGTTTTTAGATTTTTTTATAAAAACCGTATTACTCAATAAATATTACAACCTTTAAAAGAAATATGTTGGCAGCACCTCTTCACTTATACTGCTTTGTTAACACCTACAGTTTTTAAGCCGTTACGATCGCCAGGTGTCAAGATGAACTGGACGAGTTATACCATCTAAAACCATTCCGAAAATATCTCTTTTTACAGGAAGGTGTTTACATATAATAACATTTCGATTAGGTTTCTATGTACAAAGTAGCCTCTGACCATATTATATGGCCACCGGATTATACACTATATGTACGTCCCTTTCGAAATCCAGGTAGGTATTTTTTAATCATTAATATTTCCTAACGGACTATTGTGAGAACTTGATGTTTTTCAAATGGTTGTTTAAAAAAAAAAATGTTTATTCTTAATTTAAAAAGGGTGACAAAACAGGTCAATACTATAGGTGACTTACAAAACGGGTCATGGCGACGCTTGCAGCTCGTAGATAACATTTTATTTTTTCATATTTAGCGATGCTGTTGCCCGCGCTATTGTAGTATAACAATAGATTTATGAACTCGGCTTTGTTTCGTTTGGCAATCAAATAAAATTAAGTTAATTCGTATGCCGCGTTGATAATAATTTTAAATACCTCTGCCTAGCACCGTCATCGTATAATTTTTATACACTACATAATATATATATAGTTCACCGGTTATAAATGCGGGTACGTCAAAATTGCTACCCTATCTGCCAAACGCCGACTGCAGTTAATGCAAAGTGCAAACATAAAAAATAACAACAATAACCCGGTACTCCCCTTTTTGTGCAATATTTTTTATCTGAAAAAAACAACACAGGAATAATAATAATAACAGCAGCATCATAGAAGCCAAAAAGAGTAGGTAGTGATCGTCCTGACAGTCGTTCGCTCTTTCCCAATTAAAAAAATGTAATCTAATTAAAAGTCGGGCAAACGCAATACGATTAAAATACCAGAAACCTAATGCATTTATAGTTTTTGTCTAGCCGACAATATTGTTACATTCAAATAACTTTGTCAATCGTTCGATCATTAAAAGATCTTATGCCAAGTCAGAATTTTTAAATAATATTGCGAGTACATCGCTAGCATAATATAAATGATGAGACAAATGTGAACTGTACAAATTAACGATCAAATATGATTAAATATTTATAATTTTAAATTAATGTTTGTAAACAAAACAATATGCCTTACATTTATTTATAGACTATTTTGTAGATTGAAGATTGTATTCAGTGTTACAGTAATTAACTAAGATGTTTCTGCGCCATTGTTAAAAGTAACGATCAGTATCCTGTGTCACTACTATACAGGGTGTTTAGTAGCTCTAAAAAGTTGGACATAGACTTTTGAAACGGAACCGATTACCGAAATGTCGACCAACAACTGAATTCTTAACACGTCGATATATATTTGAAAATACACTGTAAATTAGAATACCTAATATGACAAAACGATCCGTAGAAACTTAAGACGATATTATGTTTTTTTACTGTAGTATCTATCGACCTAACCCCACCGATGGTATGACATATGAATTCTGATTGAAATGATCATCAATCTTAACTGCATTTTAATAAAAATATGTGTAACCATGTTAACGGTGACCATTGACGAGTAATTGTATTACTCGGAGGACATTGTTGTGATTACAGCCGCCGTTACAGGTCTCCTGTACACGTATTATAATAACATTGGATAATAGGTGAACGTCGGAGAAAAAACGCCACCCTGACCTCCGAGGGTGGCCAGCACTATAATTCACGGAGTCGTCGAATAGGAGAAATATTTTATCTTGTATGGGGTGTGCATTCCTTTGTGCGGCACCGTGTGTTTACTTTTGGCGCCGGATCCAGCCAATTCAAAACAAAAATTTGGAAAACTGATTTATCGTGTACACGGCAAACGGTTCGCACAATTTAACGCGTTATCTGCGTTTTGCATTCGGTCTTAACGCAAAACACGTGTTCCCATACCAAACGTGCAGTAGTAATATTATATATTATTAAATGGCGTGTAAAAATAATATTATAATATTGTTGTCGTATCGTTTGTTGTGCGAAGTCAAATAGAGAAGAGTCCGGCAGTGAAACTGATATAAACTGTAAAAAAATCATACACACCTATTCGACCGATTGTTGTACACCCTGCACGGTAATCCAAGGAATTGTGTGTTTACAGATATTTTCACTTCTTGGGAAAACGACCGGGATCAATTTGTAATGCGATTTCACCGAAGAGGGACACGCACAAACGACTCAATGGCCTTTGCCATTTAAACGTTCGGTAAAATGAACACACCTTTTTCACACCGTCGCATAATCCCGGCAAACGACCGTTGTTTTCGGTACTTGTTTTTTATTCGAATTTGGAATATTTTTTTAGTAAATTTCATTTCAAAAACAAACATCTAATTTTTGAATCGAACAGATGTACAACAACAACGGTGGTTTGTACACCGAGGGATGTGTTTTTTTTTTTTAATTTGTATTATATTTTCATTGTGTTACAAAAACGAGTCAATTTTTACGTTTTAAGTGTACGTAGGTACATCACGATAATATCGTATTTTATAGATAGTGCGTAGGTACATTACAGAGTCAGCGAAAAAGTCGCATTGGCATTTGTTTTTATATTCGCGATACGGTTAGGTTATGCTTGCCAATTATAAGGCTTACCGCTGTAATACAAAAAAAAGATACACTTTGTTTTGTTTCAACGCCCCCGGAGAAGGGATTGGGCGAGTTAACCCGGAAGGGAGAGGGCGTGAATTTAATTTTGCGCATAATTAATCAAACGCTTAAGAATGGGTTAGAAACGATCTTAAACCCAGGCCGGTCCATTAGAGAAGACACGCTAACTGCCTATTGTTGTTTAAATATAAACTGTTTTGGACACTTCAGTGTGCGCCCGTTTTTAGCGTCATGTGTTTGGAACGTGTTGAGGCGGTCTAGACTGATTAAAAAATTCATTGTATAATACTAATTGCAATGACAAATGATCAAAATGAAATAAATAAAAACATTTTTATGCATTTTCATAATATATTGTTACATTAAAAACTACTTAATAAACATGCGCTGTTGATGTAACGATAGAAGAAAGTGCAAACGCTTTTGCCAGTTCATTTTTGTAACTTTTTGATGCAAAAGAAGTAAAATCAAATATTTCATGGTTATTAACATAATTGAAAGCCTTTTTCCAATTACCTACCCAAAATAAGTTTCGGTTGATTGTAAACCAAAGCTTAAGCTGAAAAATACACGTGAAAGCCACGTGACTAACAATCGCCCTTCATTAGTTGGTTCTGTATAGGTATAATAAAAAAAGTTGCAAATACACATTTTTATAGTGTCATGTTAATTTAAACATATTGTAAAACTCATTATAAGGAGTAAAAATCAATCTTAAATACCTGGCACGAACAAATAGTATAAATAATTAATTTTTCCAGGATTTTATTTAGACTGGGGGTTACTTATGTTAATAAACATAAAAATTTAAACGTTTTTTTCTACAAAATATCACTGATTAGATTACTATAGTATAAATATAATTCTTAGGTCGGTTTTTTTTTAGATTTATAATGGGCTTATCACGGGCCCGCTAAATATTTTATTTGTTAATGTTCGTTTACAATTGGTTCATGCAGCAACCAGGCATTTGTGTATTTTTTTGTTTAAAATAACAATAGTGAAACACACTTTTCAATAAACAAATAAAAATACATTTTTGTAACAATATAAATTAGCGAATGTATGTAATTAGCGATATCTTGCTGGCCACCAAACACTTGCGCACTTTAATATTTTATACATTTTTTATTCAACGAAAGACGTTTTCACTTGTTGATTTTTACCGTAAAGCCAAAATAACGCCGTCCATTTAAAAACCAAAATCAAACAAGGAAGTCATGTAACATAAACTAAACGGACCTCGTGTACGAAAATTAGAAAAACGTTTTAAAGATGAGCGGGTTTAAACAGCAATAAAGAATTCCGGCGATAATAACGTTAACCCGGTAAACTACATTACGATACTTGGCCTACCCAATGGACGTGTTTGGCTTCATAATAATAATATTATGGCCGGCTAACTTTTCGCCGGCAAACGCGATAAATAATTAAGTTAAACGTCTAGAATATTTTGGAAATGCGCTTCGTGTAGTAAGTTTTTACCGGTAGGCGGTAATGCATTATTGAAGTTGCACGGGCCAGGCTAGCCGGTAATAGCGTTAATGTTACTATCATATAAGTTAGAAAAGCGTTTTAGACTCGACGATAAGACAACATATAAAACCTCGAATAAAGAGTACAATATTACATCAACATTTTGGTTTATTTTCAGCAGCAACGGATTTTCAGCATGCGATCATTGGCCGAGTAAAAGTATTCAGATGGGAATTGTTCATAAAAGCCATAACAGGTGTAAACTTAAAAAAAAAAAAAATTAGAGTAAGAACACCAGTGGAGATATCTTACATAGGCACAACTAACTTATAATTGTGTATTCGTGTAGTATGTTTACTGGTGTATAACTAAAATGTAAGAATTTACCAGGCTTAATTGAATGAATTGATATGAAATCGCTTTTTGTTGGAATGTAATTTTTTATGCGACGTATTTCACACATTATTATATGTGTAGATTAAACCCAATCTCGAAAAACAATAAAAATAAAGAACATTGTTTTGTTGTTACCTTACGGCGGTGAATTCTGTGATCATTGCGTCGTAAGGCTTCCCGTATTCGTCGTGTTTGAACATTATGTTGCATTTGTTGAAGTCGCCGTGGCATATGACCGCGAACGGTTCCTTGGGCGTCATGGCCAACTTCAGGTTGCGGTCGGCCTCCCGAATCATGGCCAAGAACCCTTTGAGTTTGCCGTCCTGGTACTGTTCCAACTCCATAAGCGGCTTGGCGCCGCGCATGCCCAACGACTTGAGCCCGTTGTTCTTGACCAGCCACCCGTCCTCGTCCCATTGGATCTCGCGCAGGTTACCGACCAGCTTGCGGAATACCACCGGATTCTTTTGCTTGACCGTGAACGACATGCCGTGGAACCGGCCCAGCGTGGTTATGGCTACCGCCAGATGGTCGTAGTCCAGGTGCTTGTGCTCGCGCTCGGCCAACACCGCGTAGCCGAGGGCCCGCGGGTCTTCCAGTACAATCATGTCCTCGTTGTGGCCGGATCCGCCGTCGTTTTTGCCGAACACGAACGTCGGTAACGACGGCCCGTCCACGCCGTCCGGCAAGTGCTCCAACAGCGTGGGCACCACCGTCTTGTACACGTGCATCTCGTTGTGGAACTGCCTGTCCGACTTGAGCACCGTCCGGAGCAGCTCGATGGTCGGCTTCAGCTTGATCGTCACCCGGACGGGCGCAAACTGTTCGCGGCCGGCCATCCTCAGGTAGCCGGACACCATCAACGACGACAAACACTGCACCTGCTTGGTGCGGCTCGTGTGTCGCGGGTCACGTTCCGTTTCGAACACGACCGGGTGGGCGCCGCACGAACCGAATACCCCATCGGCCGATAGCGTTTTGGACACCCAGCCCTCCAAAAGTTCGCAGCTCATAATCATGTCGGTCGCGTTTTCTGAAAACGGCTGTTCTGAGTTATTGCGTCACACCGCGCTGCGCGACATATTTGTATTATTAAAAATTATTACAACGTCACACGAACGTCGCGTATGATTCGGCACTCAAATGGTCCGTTAGCTTAGCACGACACTCGCGGTTAGTCAACGAATACTGATAACAACGTCGAGCGGCATCGGGTCGTTTTGAAATAATACTCGTTGTAAGACGAGATAAACACTATAATAATATTATAATAGCGAACGCAATAATTCCAAGACGTTTATTATGAGGTTCTCGCGTTTATTCTAGCGATAATAACAAATATATATATTAATATATGTAACATACAGAATGATCCGTTTAAGGTAAACTACTAAATTTCTCGGAAAATAATTACAATTTATTTTGTAGATGATATTTTTAAAAACATTTTAATAAAAGTTGTTGGTATTTTTAACTAGTTTTACACCAGTTTCAAATAATGACTTTATTATAACTGGAGTTTAAAATTTAAGATGGGAAGTGGAGTGCGGTTGAGTAATGCATGCCTATAAAAATAATACTAGTGTCCAACCTTCCTCCCGTACTAAAGTTTGATCTATAATAAATATTAAAGTTCTATTCCAAACTGGTTATCGACCAGTCGGCAATTTTAGAAAATTAAATAAATATACCATTTGACTTTCAGAAGTTTATAGCGCTATGAAAAATACCAAACAAGTTAAATATTCGGTAGTTTTGTAGTATTCTACAATAACATTAACAAAAATATTTTCAAAAAGTAAAACTACAAAATTGTAATTATTTTTCGAGAAAATGAGTATGTTACGTTAAAATGGGTCACTCTGTATTCAATTATTTTCAATCGATCACAAAAGCAACTCATTAATATTTAATAATGCAACAAAAATAATTATAATAGTCGTTCTAATGTTCTTATTGTCAAAATCCGATATGGTGTAGTAAAATCGTCGAGGAGTCAATTGTCGTTCAATCTTCTCATTGCAATACCAATTACAAATGACATACAGCATAACATTATTTTCACGAAATAGTAATATTATTATAGTTTATATTAAGTATACGTCAGAATTGGCCAAATAGTATTTGTAGCATACATTTTAAGTGATGATTCCTAGAATTGTGATACATTATGAAATAGCTTAAAATCCAAACCGTAGGTTGCAGATTAATTAGCGAAAACCGTATCGAAATCAATAGTGCGGATTTCCCGTGATAGTTGAAAGTACTTATATGTGCCTACTCTAAAAGCTGTCTATAATTTAATAAATCTTATTTTTATGGTAAAATTGTTGAAATGCGGACGAGTTCTTGGTTACAGAAAAATAAGATATTATACTAGGGCCTAGGCTATAAATATTTTATGATAGCAATTTAAAAGAGTATTTGAATTGTCGACTCGCCGATAATAAGCTTGTATCATAGATTAAATATACAATGTCCATGTTATGATAGGAAACGCATACAATATAAATATTTTAGTGTGGATTTGGGACACTGGGAGCACTCAATGGTGGGAAGAGTGGTGGATACGTGAGGCATGGCTAAAGACAGAATAAAACATGTGTGATCCACCGGCAAGCATGTATTTGAAATCCATTTTGAGCCTTATTGACAGAAAAACTAACATCAAAAAGAGCTTCCAATATGCATTGTTTATCTATAGTGTATTGAATCCATGCTTGTATTTATGTATATATGGTTGAATTTCTAAACGCCCAAAATTATAGGCAGGGTATGGAGTGCAGTTTATTTGTGCTCTTACTATGATTGCACCCGATGATTGGTTCACGATTTATTATTTTTGTTATTTTCATTTGTATTCATAATTGTTTTTTGGTCTATCCACTATATATACTTATAAAATAGATATTATTTATACATAGATGCAGCGGGATAAACATAGTATGAACTATGTAGTTAATTAATTAATGAATACATACACTATTGACTATACAATAATATTATATGTCTTAACATTTGTATTGTCTTTAAATTAAAAATTATTATCTATACACTCTAATATAACCTTATATATACATTGTAATATACCAGTATAATGTTCTGTTTTAATTTTATATTCAACATAAATTAAACAGATGCAATGTGGAAATCGAAAACACATTTATTATTACCACATTAACCTTCCTGTATTGATATTTTGTTAATTCTAGGTCAAAATGGCCAGATACAAATCGCATTCAAATGGAACAATATTTAATTAGTAAACGTTCCAAAAGAAAAATATGTAAAAATGTATGTACTTAGTTTTAAATAATATACCTGATAAGCTAATCAACCTAATTACATTTCTTTTTTCTTAGAAAAAACATAAAATTACGTGCGATACACAAAATGATACACTATTTTATTTAGGAATTATATTTAGTCCCACTACAAAAAAATAATTGTATGCAAAACAATAAGTGTATATAGTTGTAGGATATACAACAAAGTTAGCTGAATACTGTTTTAAAACCATAATACCTTAATATACCTCGTATGATCTTTAAATTGTGGTATTAATTTTATATCATGGCGGCAGTCCGGCGAATACGAATACAACATTATAATAATATGCAACCGTGCGCCGAAATTGCCTTACCAAGACGCCGTTTAGGATTTTTAATTATTTGCATCAGGTTACATAGTCGACTAAATTATATTATTTCCGTAGTTAAAATATAATTTATTTTCCACTATGGCACTATATAATATGTATTATAATATACGTTGTACTGTTTATTTCTCTTATATACAGATATATTGTATAAATATAACTATATTTATTACAAATGTGAATGTGTGTTTGTTTATACACATATTATATTATTATGTCCATATCTTCAGAACCCCTTAACAGATCAAGCTAAAAATTTCAGGACTTATTTGTGTTGTCCTAAGTCAACTCGGAGATCCATAGCCCCCCTCCCCCTAGAACAAAATTATAGATTTTGACATCTCGTGCTCGCAAGTCGCAGCATACGTATTTGTTTAGTATTTTGTTTACTAGAATAATAAAGTAAGTAATAGAAAAATGCCGAAATCTAATTTGCCTTGCAGAACATCAGCCGTCGGATGTAAAGCATCGATTAAAATGGATGGCAACTACTTAATAGTTGTTTTATTTAATAATAGTTAGTTCTTTTTTTATAATTTCAAGCGTATCCAAACGTGAAGAAACCGTCAATACTTAATTACAAGAAACTGAAGTTCTTAAATGATAATCGGCTTCCTGCATAACATAGTAAAGTAGCCGAAGAACCTGAGTTTCTTTATAGAATTGGTCTATCCTTTTTTGCCTGGCTTTTTGATCTAAAATAAACTAGAATGGCTTTTAGTCATAGAAAACAGTATTTAAATAAAAAATAATACCTTAAAGCTTATACAAATTAACCGTTAAATTAATTGACATGGTCGAAATTTAGTAAAACCACTTTTTCCTTAAATGTTGCCTATACAAAACTCCTTAAAAACCTACCGCATGCAATCCCCTTAAGAGGGCGTCGCACCGGTGATTTTCAGTGGTAAAAAGAATGAAAATTTGAATCATAATTTAAATAAATAAAACAAACTAAAACAATAACCTGTTATCTTGTAAGGTTATTTATTCGTAGCCACTATAGCCTCGCGAAATGTGAAATTTTCGATTAGACACACAATGTATACTACATTTATTTAGGACAGTTTTTATGAAATTATAATACTATATTGGTGTAACCCATGTCTACGATGTGTTGAATTACGTCTGCGAGTAATTCTGTACCCGTGTCTCCGCCAACTCGCAGGCGGTATTCCAAACACTTTTCTTCAGGCATTTCAATCAGTTCGGTCACCGGCAATGGGTTTTCGTCAACCATATAAACTAGGAAATGTGACACACACGAATATCCGTAGAACGCATATGAAGCCATTTCACTATCGAGTTCGGATCGACTGGGTATGCGCACATTTTTTGGAACAGACGTGGAAAGCCGTGAATGATACACGTCAAGCAGTTCGCCCCACCTGCTTTCCCGTAACTCTTTGTCGGTGTTTAAGTACAAAAAAAACGATAGATCCAATACTGGTGACCCGTATTGGGGCGAAGCCACGTCAAAGAGCAAAGCGTCAGTCGGATGTCCGCTATGGTCGTACCGGAACAGAATGTTATTGCGGCATAGGTCACCGTGGCAAATTACGGCGTGAGGTTGTCGTGGCACCATAGTCGACCGTAAGTTTTTATAAAAATTGTCCACAAGTGCAATGAATTGTTTTAAATGCACATGGTCGCGGTATTTTTCTGGGCTCCTCTGAAGCAATCTGTCTATTCCTCGAAAGGCAAGTGCTCGTAAAGCTTTTTCTGGAATTGTCCATCTGTCGTTCGATTTCCACGAATGGTCGCGTATTCCAACAATTTTGTTTTGGAATTGAGTGAAATCGTTGTGCTTGGCAATATAAGACGAGGCGTGGAATCTAAAAAAAAAAAAAACAAACGATAATTACAAATTCACAGTAGTTAGCTTCAAATCTTGGGGTGACCATGAGTAGCCTCGTCAAAATTGTATCTAACAACGAACCGCAAATATTCTGGCAATATAGTCCTGTTTATTAGACGTGACGATTATGATACGAATCAAAGTACATTAGATGTTTAAACCCGTTTACATTACATTAATCTCAAGTCAAAGTGTGCCAATTGATAATTGTTGTACTCAATGTTTATAAAAAATAGGTAAAATATTTCAAAGACATATTATAGTTAACGAGAAAATGACTACCGAGCTGGCGAGTTTGATCTAAAATATAATATACTAAAAATTTTAAAAATCTTACTTTGCAATAGCTTGAAGACCTGCAGATATATGGTCAAAACCAATAAATACGCGTTCTTCGGATAGTCGAAACCCTAAAGAGCGCATGTTTTCCAAAATGATTACATCATTATCCACTAAAGCATCTTCATTTTTTTTCGCCCCGTAGAAAAATCTAGGCAACAACGGAAGCCCGTTCGTGACATCTTCGCTGTATGACATTAAAAACGGTATGATATCTTTGTACATAATTATTTCATTTTCAAACTGGATATCAGTATTAAAAATCTCGATAGCTTTAGGTTCTGCGAAATTAAATTTAATCACCAATTGATACTGTTGACCATCCGATACCGCCAAAGTACCAAATACCACAGTGGACTGTAACTGGTCTTCTCCCACTTGCTTATTATCTTCTTTGAACCACAAGAATCTTTGGCCTTCGCCAAACACGCCCTTATCCACGATATTCGGAAATAATTTGTCCTTCAACAATGAAATCATTCTTCAACGTTTTGTAAAGAAACCCTAAAAAATGACATTTAGAACTGTAGAATTTGGTGTGTATTTAATTTTTAATACTGTGAAATTATAAAAATCTGCTGATAAACATCCCAAATTATGTTTTTCACTACAAATTTGTATTTATCAACTAGTGCTTGTTCGTAAATGTAATAGGCTCGAAAAATAATAGGTATTTAACAACAATTATAAGTAAGTAATAGATTAAGTTAATGATAATATGGGGGAGGAGAGTAGCAAGCTCGATGTTATTTATTTGGAAGTATAAGTTAATATTATTTACTATTAAAGTTTTGTTAATTAAAATGTTATATCTAACCTGGTTGTATCTTGCCACTACTCGATAATTTTTCGTGTAACTAGGACAGACTAGCCTTGGCTCGACGTCTTATATGATTAACGTTTTAAACTATTATGATCACTATAAGTACCTTTTTTAGTGTATGACCTGGTATATTAATACAATTAATAACAAAGATTATTATTTTATTACTCACATAATAAGATAACAATAAAGAGGAGGAGTGGGTAATGCGGCAGTATGTTAGCGCTCACTGTCGCAGGTTTGACAATCGTACGGTGAAAAGGAATCCCCATCCTGGACTGATGGGCCGTCCCAGGTAGCGAATTCGTGCTAATTAAAGCTATGTGATGTTGATGATGATGATGACATAATAAGATACAATTATGTAGATTTTCTAATGGACGGTTAGTTTAGTGGAATGTAGCATATTAGGGACGGGAAGGTCAGAGGTTTTCATTTTTTAAGACTTGTTTTGAGTGCATGACTGAATATTTTTAATTACATATCGATTGTTAAGTAGTATTTTTTTTTTAGCTCTAAGGCATAGATCCGGACAAGTAAGTCTTTGAATTCCAATTGTCGTGCGTCGTGATTGAGCAACGTTTTAGACTTTAGTAGTACCTTAGTGACCTAAGCGGTCGAATTTTGGATAAATAATAATAGATCAAAATTTGAAAAAGAATCATACATAATCCTAAAATTATATCTTATAGAAATTTGAAGATTTATACATATTTTTCTACTTTTAAATAAATGTTATTTTTTAGTTATTGCAATTGATATTTATTCGGGAACGGTTATTTAAAACTTCCATAATTTGTATAGACAATACTTCTAATTTTTTTTCAAATTTGTAGGATACTCGTGTAGCCGTATTTCTCGGCACCAATGCTCTATCTAATAACTAACATTGTCGGAGTCGTATGATTTTTAACGGGGAGTAAATACTGCGAAATAATTCAGAACAAACTGCGAGGACACAACTGCGTGAATACATACATAATATTATGCAGTGCTTAAAGAAACTCGGGTACATTTTCGAATAGCTTCCCGTCTACACTGGTGATTAATTTAGGATAACACACTAATTTTCTCGTAAAAAAAATTACAGTTTTGCAGTTTTTCTCTTTTTGGAGTCACTTTAGTTTTTTGTTATTTTACAATAAAAGGCAATATTGAAGTTTGTATATTTTTTATTTATTCCGGAGCTCTATAAATTTTAACACTTCAATGGTAATGTATATTTGATTAACTTTTTAAATTAAGAATAATTGTTGACAGGTCGATAACCAGTTTTAAGTAATTACTTTAAAAGTTATTAAAGTTTAAAAGTTAGGACGGGAGAGGAATTGTGGTTGAGTATTGCGTGCAGATAAAAATAGCACTACTCACCACCCTTCCACCCATCTTAAACTTTAAACCGAAATTACTTTAAGAATAATTATCCGAAACTAGTTGTCAACCAGTCGTTACCATTTGAGTTTCAAAAGTTGACGGAGCCGTGGAAAATACTAAAAAAAAAGTAAATATTTAGTAACTTCATAATATTGTGAAATGACATAAACAAAAATATTTACAAAATCAAAAACTTCAAAATTGCAAATTTTTTTAATAAAAACTGAGCGTGCTGTCCCCAACGAATCCATAATAACTCTGTACATGCTGTAAACTTTTGCTGTATAATTATATGAAATGTCGTTAAACTTAACCATAGACACGGATAGGCGCAATGTCGTTATCTGCAATATTATGGGTACACAATACGGTTCTCGTTAAACAACAGCGTTGCACACATCCTACACGGATAGCGACGAGTGTGTTGGCTATATGGCCTGTGTTAATGGGCTCGTAACAATGGTTTTCGCTGTAATGATGAGCTGTCCCCGAGTTGTATGGCACAGCCGACTAACGTAAAACTGTACGGCCGGGACTGTGTGTAGAGCTTTTTTTGTTTTATTATTATTATTTGGTTTATTTGGTCGTTTTTTGGTATTGCCGCAGGGAGAACCTGGCCGGAGTACGTACCAACACGAGCCTCAAACATTCTGTCCCAAACCCGCCTGCCCTGCTATACAAATTCGGTAACAGGAACACGGTATAGGCCTGCAAAATGTCAAACAGCGGAATAAGTGTAAAATCGACAGTGCAAAATCAACAACGGTTTAGCATTAGCCCGTCTGTCGTGGTGTTGTCATTTATCATTATACACAAATTACAATACAACCGTTGCCACATACATTTTTGCTAGTGTTCCCATCCATAAACTACACTAATCAGATACTACATTGTATAAAGCGTGGTTTTCGATCATTTCATTTACCTTTGATATAATTTATATTTATTGGATATGACATAATATGAGCATATTTTACGCAAATTTAAAATTTAAAAAGTATCAAAATAGATTATAGGTTTAAATTTAAATTCGGTATCAATGTTTATATAGGTACAGGAAGATCCAGTCGACGTAAATCACTCATTATTATTTCTAAAAATAATAGCTATATTTTGTAAATTTTTTTTTAAAATATTTTAGGTGACTGAGTTGCATTTCATACATTAAACCTTATAAGTTATTGCTTAGCTTAATTTAGGTTTTTACTAAAGGCAAAAAAGGGAAGGGAGTGACAACGTAATGACAATAATAGACAAAAACAAATTTTGTATACATTTTGATAATTTCAACTAATTTTTCGGTTAATGTGATTTAGCTTTAGGAAATATTTTTTAATATATACAATTATAAGGTATGGACACTGTATTGGAAGAAACGGGAGAAAAAAGGTCATGATGTAGTTCAGTAGTCACTGGTCAGCCATAATTGTTGTTCAGCAAAAATACCTATTCCAGCCAATCGTTAAAAACCCTTAATCGTCCCAGAAACCTAATTAATTACAACCCAAAAATCAAATAACCCCGATAATGACTACAGCTGTCAAAGTGGAAAACAACGAAAGAAAAAGAATCTTTAAAAACAAAATAAGTTTGTACAATCGTTAAAGCAGGTTTAATATAACCATTTTTACAAAAAAAATATTTTATATTATAACCTATATATGTTTAATAAATTAATTAAATAAAAACTAAAATTTTTATCCTATAGTGTTTTTAATATATTTAAGTTTCCCAAGAAAATTAAAGTATTGACATTCCCCCCCCCTCTTAGCTTGTAAACTTCATAAAAATTGTAAATACTACTCTAAGAAAAGGTTCTAAACTCCGAATGGAAAATAGATTTATTTGTATTATTATATGATAAAACAAATTACAAAACATCAATATTTATACTCTTACAATATTATAACAAAATAAATAATAAATAAAATTGCTGAAATTTGTTTATTTATAAAAATATTAACACGATTAAGAGTAGCGCGTTTGAAGAGGTTTTCCAATATAGTTTACAATAAACTCATATATTATCGTATCGCTATGTTACCTGCAAAAGCGACTGTCCTTCGTGACGCATACAAGGTGATCTACTAGGGCGAGCCTAAGTCGTATACAAACGTTATTATCCTTCAGTGGTTTGCACAGCACTTGACTCACCATTGGTCAATCATCCTGTATGCGCGGTCACCACGTCATCCTCACAATTCAAAATCGGTGAATCCCATGTTGACCACGTGCTCGTACACGTCGGCTACCAATGCCTTACCCTTTGCGCCGCCCATGGCCATCAGTAAGTCTAGCCAATCGTCTGCGGACACCGTGCCATACTTGCTCAGGTCCATTACGTGTTCGGTGTCCACCATGATCGGCAAGAAGAAGGTGACGTGCGACAACCCGTACACGGCGTACTTGGCGATTTCGGCGTCCACGCGCGCCCGATCCGGCACGTTTACGCCGTCCGGCACGGACTCGGCAAGTGCCGAACAGTAGGCGTCAATCAGACTGTCCCACCGTTCGTTCCGCAGCTGCCTGTCGGTGTTCAAGTACAAAAAGAACGACAGGTCAAATGCCGGCGACCCGTACCGGATCATGGCCAGATCGAACAGCAGCGCGTCTACCGGCTTGCCCGCCTCGTCGTACTTGAACATCATGTTGTTCCGACAAAAGTCGCCGTGACAAAGAACCGACAGCGGATCGTGCACGTTCATCATTCGCCGCAAGTTCTTGTCCGGGTCTTTCATGAACTCGGACAGCCTCCGTACGTGCTCGTTGTCCCGGTACTTTTCCGCGTCTCGTTCGATTAGCAGGTCCACTCCCCTTCTGCCCATTTTCGTCATACCGTTATCCCTGACCACCCACTGGCCGTCTTCGGACCACTGCGATTCCTGCATATCGGCGAGTGTTTTTAAAAACCTCTCGTTGTCTTTCTGCTTTGCCGTATACGACAGACCATGAAATCTATTAACACAAAAAACGGTCGTCAAATTAAGTAAATAAATCCGACGTCCACAATGCAAAAAAATCAAAATCGCATCCACGGTTAAGTACGATAAAATGTCATTGAAAAAATGAATTAATTATAATTCATCATAAAAAACAGTAATTATTATTTATATTACGATAATTACTCTTCCTTAATTAACAATTGTATAACTAAGCAATTCCATAACCAGAAAACCTTGATAGTCAACGTCTAATATATCCATCATTATAATAATAATATACAACTACATATGTACTTGGCTTCAATGTTGACACCGTTCTATTCCTCTGTTCTAGGTTCAACGGTATCCGTATTTATCTACATTTTAGTCCGAAAACGCCATAGGATCATAAAACTCAAAATTTGGGTTCACTGGAATTAGTCGACAGTTGTTACGTTAAAATAGAGTCGAGATTGTGAATCAAATATGTATACATCTTTTTTAACTCAACATTTTAATACCTTTTATATGAAATCGTCAATCGTGCCATTTATAATTACCGATTTTCTATAAAATTGTATATAATTCAATTTATGTTTAATAAAACAAATAAAAGTTTTGAAGAAATACTAAAAAAATAGCACCACAATCGCTACTTGACAATTACTATTGTTTAAACCACAACTATTTTTGTCTTCAATCGATAGCCCTAGATTGTTGCTAACCCTGTGATGAGCTTAGTCTCAAACGTCTTTTTTAAAGTTCGTATATATGTTTGTAACACCCAACATTCAACAATAATTAATATTTTGTTTCCATTGTCATGGCTACTTTCTAGGTTTTAATACATTTTTGTTAATTTGTTTAATATAAACGTGTTTTTATTTTAAATCCAATTATTAAAATAACTGCAAACGTTATACTAAACTTAATTAATGCATATTCACGTATTATGGAGTAATAATCTGGGTCTTATTGTGCTCCGTGTTTAACTTGGCACACCGCTTTGTTGATTAGGTACAACACACATTTTAATAGTATACACTATATATCTATACTATCATCATACGGAATCTATACGGATATTCTCAAAACCGACTGAAACAACTAATAGATATAGGCATTGGACTTATATGTACCTAAGATCTTTATATTCATCTATAAGAATAGTTTTAAGAAAAAAGTCATTCCTAGTGTCACGCTGTCCTAGTGAAATCACTATATATTTATTCAGTACTATGCACATTTTTATTGGTTTGAAATAGTAATATCTAAACCTTGTTTCGGAGCAAATAAGATACAAATTATTTTTGGATAACCTAACCATAGGAATCGTTTCACTGACACATTCAAATAAATTCTCATATTTTAATCTCGCCTAATTAATAAATTAGCTTATTCTAGTTTGTTTTGTTTTTATATACAAAATTATGTTTATATATTAACAAAACGAGACGTTTGGAAAAAAAAAATACCAGACTGTAATATAGACAAATAATAATTTATCCGAAAAAAATAATGCTACCACTTGTGTAGGCTGTATTAATTGATGACATTTTACTACAATATAAATATTTGGTTGTATACTTGTATAACTAAAGTACAGACATTTAAATAGGATACCTAACTACGACGCCTGCGGGATAGATTGCAAATCGTGTTCATCAAGTTGGATTGTTGCCACTAAAAACCACCTTTTTAACCACTCCTTTTTATGGAAAAAAATTATTTCTTAAACTTTTATTTTTTTAAACCGCTAGCCATTTGCATTCAAAGAATGTGAACAACGATTATTTTCAAATCTGTGTAACTTCTTCCAAACCGGTAACCGCGTTTATTATATGTCTTTTGGTTGGAATAAAATTGAAATAATAACTATGACATGACTTTCATTAACCCATCGTAAATGCGTTTATATGACCTCGAATACGAATTAAACGCAAATGTGAACTCATGTATGTTACATTCTTCTTATCGATTTACACATTTTAATAATGTTATTAATTTAAAACAACTACTAAATTTGTGATTAGTGAGGTATACCGTCTGATAAAAAACCTTGGTTATCTTTTAAGTGGGAACAATATTCTGATTTTGTATTGAAATACTGAAACAGTGCTCATAAGTTAGCTGTTTTGATAAAAACTAATTGGAATCATGTATTACATTGACTAATACCATAAAGACGTTCTATTTATATAGTCCACGTCAACATAGTCATAATATACTACAGAAATAATTACCGAGTTTACAATAAAATATCATAATTCAACCAATAGTTGAACTTAAAATAATAATTACTTAAAAAAATTGTATAAATGTGGATTTACAAATATGTAAAATTAGTCATCTTCTATACTAGAGTTATTAAAAATTCTAATATTAATTGTTTTGCACTTAAATTCACTCCAATAGAAGTCCAAAAGTAGTAAAATATCAGTTGAATTATAATGTTTGAATTAAGTTAAATAACTGGCCAACGAGGCAATTTATTAGTTTTATATAACAATTATAAGTACAACAAGAACATTACTTACGCATCCGATGAAATTTAATGGAGATGCAATAATAAAAATTGCAGTGCATTCATTAAAATTGTAGAAGTGGAGAAACGAAATATTATGTTAACAAATGCAACCAAAAATATTTACATTAGTTCATGTCATACACAAAAATGCAAGTATTAGAAAAAGCTATGTATTATGATTATAATAATGGACAAATACAATAATTAGAATATTTAAAAACCGTTTCATTACATTTCAGTTTCAATTAAAAAAATAAAAAACATAAATTATTATTACAAACTCTTACTAGTTCTAAACATTTTTTAAATTGTTTTATTTGTTTCTTGACCAAGTACATACAAATATTACTTTTTATTACGCATACATTTATGTTACTTACACATATTAGCATATTTTACATACTTGATAAATTATTATTGCAAATAACACCAATATGGTCTTATAATGGTCTTGGCGGAGTTTACATATATTCAAATTTACCTGTTTTTTTTTGTCGGGCGGAGTTTACATAATATGTATATTATACCCAATTTTACCTGTTTTTTTTCTGGCAGAGCTTACACTAAAAAAATTTCATTGTGGCGGAGATTTTATGCGCCCAATATTGTGTGTACTTGTAGCGCATATTGACAAGGGCCCTAGTTCAGCTCTATTCGACTAAGTGAGTTATTCACTTTGCAAAACCACCCAAACTCTTTTGTAAAAGTCCTTACATTACCTACGATGGCCAACAATCCACCTAAAATATTAAAAAGAAAGAGGTGCAGAGACCTTCTTACGTCATAACTATTAAAGAGCCAAATTTACAAAAAGGCTCGCAAGTGAAAATTCAGGGGGGGGGGCGACTATGATTTCGCAATAGATTTTGTGAATTTTGGGGTATTGGATATTTTTTTTTTTTTGCAGAGAAGCTGAGGGAGTAGTCTCCCCCTGCGGGCGCCCTTGAAAATGTATAACCGTCTGTGGGTAGCTTCATTTTTCGAACCAACCAAGTTACTAACTTGTAATACTTATACTTATTGTACGTATATTGTATATATTGTATAGTGAAAAAAAAAAATCAGTTATTCAAATGATGTTTATGGAACACCTAAACTTCAATGAACGTAACCGATCGTTATGTGCGAGCAATTATTAAATGATTCTACATTTTTGTGACCTCTTATTTGTTTTATACATTTTGTATTTTACTCACTTTGCCAATGCGATCAACGCGATCTTGACGTGCTGATAGTCGAGAAAGACTCGCTCCTCGGACAACCGATATCCCGATGGGCAAACGTTTTCCAAAACGACCATGTCCTCCAACGCCAGTTCGCCGCAAACGTTGCGTCCGTAAAAGTAACGCGGAAACATCGGTGCTGCGGCCGGGCCGTTGCACTGTTCCAGGAACGGTATGATCCGCTCGTACATGACGATCTCGTTGTGGAACTGCTGGTCGCTTTTGAACACTAGACGCAGCAACGGCGACCGGTGTTTGAACTTGACCACCAACTGTAGACGCTGGCCGCCCGACAGGGACAGGTCGCCGAACACCACGATGGACGCGTACTGATCCTGTCCCGCCTTGTCGCCGTCCTCCACGAACGATTCGAACCGAAGACCGGTACCGAACGCACCGGCTTCCACGATGTCCGGTAACGATTGCTTGACCAGCGAAAGCGTGGACGTCATTTTCAGGAGGAAAAAATTGTTTCAATACGATATTTCGTCGACTACAGTACACCTGGATGGGGTGAGCGTGCCGCTCGGCCGTAGTTGTTCAACTAAGGCGGTCAGCATGCGGATGGTCGACCAACGGCATACCTAAACGCATCAAAACCGGTCCTTGGTATCTATTTCGATGTACTAATAATATAATATATGTTAAATAACGAGTAATTACGTAACGTCCTTAAACCTATAACGAAGGAATTCACTTTTTTTAAAAAAATATATGCCTATTTTACAATAAATTGGCAATGAAAATATTTGTACAGCTCTGACAAAAATCAAACACGGTTGATACCACACAACGGCTATTCGTTTAACTATTAAGTTAAGTATTATAACATTTTTATAGAATAGGTTACAAGAAAAAATAAAATATTATAAGGACGCACGTTTTTTACGAAAAATAAAATAAATATACAACAAAATGTACGAAACAATTTGATTTGTTATTTTACCTAACTAACACATTTGAAGTCTATAGATTAACGCACAATCAAACGGTGCAGAGTCCGCGAGACAAATCGAAGTCAGTATCTAGATAATTAGGCAAATTATAATGCACCATACATCCATTGTGTTCAGTTATAACCGTAAACTAACAAGAACACATTTAATATAAAATATAAGATCTTATATTCGTAACTCTCGAATATTAACTGAAATCATGACATCACTAATTAAAATAGAATTATATCTAAGATCAATGAAAAAATATTAGGTACGTACTGGATAACAATGAATTGTTGATAATAATATTATATATTTAACTTCATCATGTAATTGGCTGTAAAAAATGTGTACATTAAAAATTACACCCTAAAGCTAATAAAAAATAATACTGAAAATAAGTTGGCATGATCGAAATTCATTAAAACAACTTTTGAACTTCGTGGCGAAGCTGAGAAGCTATTAGTTTTTTGACAAATATTTAGCCCCCCAACTAATAGCCACGACTACCGACTTTAACTATCAAAATAACTTGACTATATTTAACAATATAAATATTATTATTATTATACAAACAAAAATAAATTTTAAGTATGAAAAAATAGATAGAACTATGATTTTATTTGATTTGTTGAATTAATATTAGATTTTAAACAGCTATACTAATCAATTAGATGTTTAAAATAAAAAATCAGCTTAACTTGCGCGAGTAGTAATTGGACTAATGACAATGAATTCAGAGGAAAAATAAATGATTGAACTTTATGCAAAATAAAATATATTTGCGGAAGTATCTCTGTCGACGTTACGTTTAAGTATTTATTTTTTAAGCTTAATGTTCAGTAAACGATTATCCCAGAGTTGTATTTCAGACTTTATAATAACTACATTTGGCAATAGAGCAATATAATATTCTCTGTTAAAGTAATATTTTTATTTAATTCTCAGTACACCAGAATAACTTAACTTACCATATTTATGTAAAGGTGTAATAAATAATAATCAATATATAATGTAATGTATTTAATGTTATTAGAATAAAAATACTCTATTGACAACTCGTTATATTATTTATATGTATTTGAAAGAAAAATACAATAAAAAAAAAAAAAAAATTACACAATAACAAATGTATACAATATATAATTTAATAGTTTTCAAGGTTAACAATTATATCTGTACCACTTACAATATTGTATGTTTAGCAACAAGCGGATAGGTATATTATAAAAAACGCATCGTCGCATACGGAAGTAAAAAAAACAAATAATTACAATAATAATACATAACAAAACTGTAATATTAACTATTATCATGTTTTACATAAAATGATTATCCTCTCCATAAAGAGCATATTATTTTTACTCCATTGAATGAAAATAATATGAATTTAATTGACATTACAATATAATCAAATCGGTGACTCGTCAGTTCAGTATACATTTTTTGGAATAAAACTGATACTGTGAATTTGAAAAAAAATATAGTGTACCGTTCGATTGAAATGCAATAAAATGAGATTACATTAAATATTAATCTTAATTTATATTCACCATTTTATAAACTATGTATACCTGTATAGTTATTTTTGTATTTTACTATAAAAATAAATAATGTTTTTCATAACTTTAAACAAATATTTTGGTTATATTTTAGTTTTTCTGAGAAGCTGAGAAAATATTTGTTATATTTTTAAATGTGCTACTAATTCATAGTATTTTAGGTTTTTGTCTTAAATTATTGTAAGAGCTCGTGTTTTACAATTTTACTTTGGCGTTTAAAATCTTTTCTCACTTTCTCTGAGCCCATTCGCCTTAATATTAAGTACAATTTCATTTTTACGAGGTGGACAACCGTTCACAACCAAATAGCAAGAGCACGTTAACGTTAAGCTTTTTTTAAATTAAAAAATCTTAAAAAAAATTATGTTAATTTATATTTATGATAGCAAAATACATCTTTAAAAATTACAATATATGTATTATAAATGTAAATTGTACATTAAAATATTTGAAATTTTAACACATATTCTGTGGAACAATTTTGATTAAACATTTCTATTGATGTTATTTATAAGAAGAACATTATATTTTTTTACAGTTTTAATGGAAATACCTCTGCGTTTAAAGACAGCTTCATCAAGCTTAACGTTATTGAATTTTAGCAAAGGGTACGATGTTGGAATTACTTACTTACTATAAATAGTTGATTAGACTGTATTTTTTGTAGTCAGATTGAATCGTGAGACTCGATTAAATGGTACCATTAAGGTGTATTTCTTCAGAAAAAACTTAACAACCGTGTATAATATAAAACGTTTGAGTAAATATGCAAATTCAATACAAACCGAAATAATTATTTTTACATGAAAACTTTGAGGTAAATCTAATCGATGACGGTCTCGTTTCAAATGGTCTAGATCACTGCGCGTGCTATTGTTCAAGAGTAGAATGTTATGAAGTAGGTATTTTTTTCACAAAGGCTTTTTGGTATAACCTTTGTCGACAATATGTTTGACAACGTCCATCAGCAGGTCGGTGCTCGCCTGTCCGCCAGCATCCATGCTCAGGTTGACCTTCTCTTGGTCGGTGGCCATGTCGAACTCACGCTTGCACTCGCTGACCATGTCGTGGTCGTCGGGCACGCGGGCCGTCAGCGCTAACAAGTACGAAACGTGTGCCAGTCCATACAAGGCGTGCGTCTTCATTTCTGCGTCCAGGTCGTCCCTGACTGGCACGGCCACACCCTCGGCGGCTCCCACTTGCGACACCGCTTCGTGATACACGTCCAGAAGATCTTCCCACCGGTTTTCCCGCAGCCTGTTGTCCGTGTTCATGTACAAGAAAAACGACAGGTCCAGCGCGGGCGAGCCGCACCGGATTCCGGCCAAGTCGAACGGCAGCACGTGTGTGGGCCGTCCCGTCACCACGTCGTATCGGAACATCAGGTTGTCCCGGCAAAAGCCGCCGTGGCACAGTACCGACCATCGGCCGTCGCTGCGCATCACCCGTCTTAGGTTCCGTTCGGCGCTGGCCAACAGCTCCAGACAAGCGTCCATGCGCCCGTCGTCGTACCCAGGCCGTTCCATCAGCGGACGGACTCCGCGCATGGCCAACGTCCGCAATTCTGCGTCACCAAATATCCATCGTCCTTCCGCGTCCCATTGAGTGTCCAACACGTGCCTGGACAGCTCTCGGAACCGCAACGGGTTTTTTGATTTAGCGACGTACGACATTCCGTGAAATCTATACAAATAGTAAAAGTCCGTATAAATATTTTATTAAATTACGACAGTAAATTACTTAATTTTGTATTATTTTATTGCGTAATTTGACCATGGGCTTTTTATTATGATTAACCAATTAAAAAAAAACACATCACTAGAATAACATATAAAAAAGCCAAGAAGACGAGTAAAAGAAGCATTGTTAATTTTACTTAATATATAAGTTCTTCATAACGAATAATAAAACTTAAGCAAGAAATATTAAACATAATTATTATTTAGTAAGTTTATTCATTAGACATGACTTATAATTGTAGTTACTGCAATAACGGTATTGTTAAACATATTTATGTTGTGTTCTAGCAAATATGATTGAACAATAACAAAAGTAATGTAAGGTATTTGACAAGATAGTTAAATGGGTTTTTTTAAGAGTTAAATCAAACTCGCTAAACCGTTAATGAGCTTAGTCTCGCTCTGAGAACAGTAGGTAGTAGGTAATTATTATTTAAATAACGTATTCGCTTAATACAAGTACATGTCAACTGTTAAAAACCGTTTTCCTTCAGACTGCTCTATATTCATATTTGAATAAAGAATTTCGATGGCCAACATAAATGTAATGACACGAGACATTGTAAATTGCATAATATTATAAATAATATATAAAATATAAGAGAACCCGTTATTCTTTTAATTAACTTTTTAAAATGCAATTCAAAAGAAAACAGATTTAAGTGTACAGTGTACTATAACCGTTAGGGTAATGTCTGGCTATAATCGTTACTGTTCTAATATACTAGCGGCTAGCCTACAACATTACAGTATTTTCACGGTATTATGGGGTACGACATGAATAAAAAACTTTTCATGTCGGTAACATAGGCATGAAGTCAATTAATTATAATTTGTTACTTAAACTTGGCGTTAGCTTTCACATCACTTTTATAAATTGATAATGCAAAGTTTTTTTGGTAGTAGTACCCGAGTATATATAAAAACTCGTGTAACAATGACATTTACTGTTAACAGGAGAACGGTTTTAATGTTAAAATATTATTTTTTATGATCTCGAAAACTTACAAGTTACAATTTTTTTTTATAATATAACCAGTTAAATATGAAGTATACAACTATTTAATGTCTTGATTTCACATATGCATACTTGACGGTCTGATATATCATCCATAATAAGTTGATGCAATTTTTATGATAACTGTTATATCGTCATGTTTGAGCTGGTGTTTAGAATAATATTGAAAATTAAAAATATGTACACAACTTATACAAACATTTTAGTACACCGCATCTTATCGCGTAATTTGAATTATATTAACATATTTTATTATAATAATATAACATAAGAGGAATTCTACATATTTAAATCGTACATCATTTCACTTTTACCCATTGGTTTTTACTGAAATTGTTTTATTTTAAACAAGATATAAATATTTGAAAATTATTTTTGCTATTACAATAATATATATCCTCCGAAAATCGGAAAAATAAAAAATAACGGTTAACAAAACGATGTAAATTTCAAAACCTGCCAATGTTCTAATTGCATGCAAATATTAATATACATTTTTTTTTAATTTCTAGTTTAAAAAATGTTTATAAAACATTATCGATTTCTTATAAAGTATTATTTCATATAATACAAATAATTTGCATCCTTTATTAAAAAAACAACTACTTTTTTAAAAACTTTAAATTTTAAAAAATGTCATCGAATTTTGTTGCACATGGTTTTTTTTGTAAGCAATTTAAGAAGAAAATTGAAAATCTAATAGTGAACTTTTAATTTACAACACGTGTTATTATTTTAGTTTTATCTTACAGTATTTTATTATGTAATCTTTTAAATGACAGCATTTTTTTCCTCGTTGAAGTCTTATCCTCTCAATTATTTATTATATGTTTTGTCTTACTATTCTAACGATAGGTTGTAATCAATTATATCATTAATATTTATCCTCTAAGACACCTATTTAAAAAATGTATTGCTTGATAATGTTTATCACCATGTTTGGACAAAGTTTGTATTATTGTTTCCATTCAGACCAACGTCTAGTAAACTTAGTGCATGTATATTGTATATACATTAGGTATTTGTATTATTAACACAGTAGTATTTACAAATTAATTCTAGAAATTTATATTTGATATTAAAAAATAAATAAAAATAATTTCAATGCGAAGTGTAAATAAAAAATTAGAGAAATTTAAAAATATTGTGTAAATATAGATATATTTAATATAAATAAAAACCGCGACCGCGAGGTCGATGACTGCATTTTAATAAATACAAATTGTGCGTTAAACATAATATAATAACATAACATAATATTAAAATCAATGTCCAAACGTGTGACCTCTTCGTTAATATTTTGTGGTAGATGAATCAATTATTGTGTAGTCTCATTATGATTTTACATAATATTTAGAAAACTTTCGAAGTAATACACATGTTTTTCTTGCGAGAACCGAAAACGTGCTGGGGCTCGTCTAATCGGATTAACGCATCCGTTTATTAGTGAAAATTAGGTCGACACCTGGTGGCAGCCGCCAATGTTAAACGGGTCTGTTATCCGTTTAAATCACAAAGGCAAACAGGGTCCGGCATAAAGCTTCTGGGGACATCATAACTCACGGAATTCGAGAAAGCTTTTAGAGATTTCTCGAATATTATTTACAAAACGATAACGAAGAAAAATTGGCCAAAATTTCACTTAGCCCACATAGAAGTTTGAATAAAAAATAATAATATTTTTATGATAAAACACTATCGATATGTGAATTCTCAGTGAAAGTAAAAAGATCTTCAAGGGGCGAACCCTAACATAAAATGGTTAAGCGTCTTAACTGGAATTGTTTGCGGATGTTAACGTCAAGTTTTAGTTGATGAGACTAAAAGGCCTACATTAATAATATTATTATATCCGCTAGAGCTTAATATAGTTGGCTGACTGCTGTACTGCTGATTCGTTCGACTAACGGTAAACAAGAGTTTTACGTTGACCAAATTGTATGAGTACATAGAAAATCTATATTCTTGTTTTTAAAAAGGAATACATGAGATATAAAAAAACATAAATACTCCAATAGGTAGCACGACTATAGACTCTGGTTGTAGGTCAGAAGTTATAACATAATATTTACAAACAAATAAAAGAAATTTGAGTAAGCACGAAAAAACACGCGAAATGGCATTAAGTCATACAATTTACATGCATTGAGAAATGAGAATATTTTATGACGTTCTTTTTACAATAATATCTTCACATTTAGTTAACAAACAAATGGTATCCCAATAGGTACGATTAAACGGATACTTATATGTGTTTCTTTGTAAGTTTTAATAAATGTATTTTATCATACTCGTATAATTCGATAATATTATGTACCTATGTTTGTTATAAATTATCACAAACAATTATTTTGAATTACCGGGCCAAATAAGGCCAAAACCGTAGGCATAGGTACGAATTAGCTTACACTTATTTCTTATTAAAGGTATAGGTAATATGAAAATAATATTTAAAAGTAAAGTTATCGATAAACTATAATATTGAACTTAATAAATAACATATAGAATGCTTACTCCGTACTCGGTTTGCTAAAATACTTAAAAGTGTACCTAAGCTAATTTTCTAGCTTTAAAATGTATCAACCAAAAATTAACCGTAGGTACGTCTTATATCAACGCAACCCTACCTTTCAAAGTAAAAAAAAAAATTCAAAGCGTACGTTGAAGAGAACACAATTAAAACCGTTTTCAAACAAATGATTTTATAATAATGTTTTATTCTATCCAGATATACATTTTTAACCTGAGTGTTATGTAATGGCATTTTAGATAAGGCAAAGGTCGCGTATTGCCCTTTATCTGCGATTTCTCCCACCTTGCACTACAATAACAATTATTATTATTAATTAGTAATAAAAGTATAAATTAAAGTCGTTGACAGTGCGAAATATTTATTTACTCTTGACGACTCTGGGTATAATAATAACAATTGAATAACATAATTACTCAAGGTAAGCGGCATTCGTCGTACAAATAGGATAACAATTTATTCACATGAGACATGACACATTTGAGCTTTATCGTTACCGGGTTATCCGATTCAATTATAAAAGTTTTTAAAAAGTCCTTCATTTTTTGGGTAACTAGTTAGAACACAACTATTAGTACCAGAAAGAAAAATCCCAATACAACATGCAGTACATTCTGTATTTTCGTAATCAATGTAGATATCAAATATATTTTGATTACTCTAAAAATCGATGTGCGGTTTAACATTATGTTATCGCCGATAACCATAGAGATAAAATATTATATACGAAACAAGGTAAAACAACTGGTCAACCCGAATAACATGGAAAATATATTTTTCATAATATCTTTAAAGTTAAAACCAAACCAAAAATGTAAACCGGATTTGACTGCATACTTACATTTATTGTAATTATTTTACGTTTACCTAGAATATCGCCTAAAAATATAAACACTATTTCGATAGTACGTTATTTAATGTAATTTGTATTGCTTTAAATATGTCAATATTTTTTTGTACGATCGTCGATCCGGCTTAGGAACTTGGTTGTCTGTCTTATTATATAGTTAAAACTCACTTGCCCAAGGCCCGTAGAGCGGCGACCACGTGGTCATAGTCGAGGAACAGGCTGTCTTTGAACAGCTCGTATCCTTCGGTGCGCATGTCCTTCAACACTATGACGTCCTGTTCGGCCGTTTTGCCGCACGCGTTACGGCCGTAGTAATACTTTGCGAACAGACACCCGTAGTCCTCGGCCACTCCGGCTCCCACGAGGAACGGAAGGATCTTTTCGTAGGCTGCGATCTCGTTGTGGAACTGCATGTCGCACTTGAGCACGTGACGCATCTTCCGGCACCGGTGTTTCACCTTGAGCACGACGCTGTGTTCGTCGGGCACGCCGGCCACCAGCACCTTGCCGTACACCACGGTGGACGTCCACGGCGGTCGGCCGGCCGGCTTGAACGACAGATACCGGCAGCCGGGACCGAACGTGCCGTTGGCCACCAGCGACGGGAACACCAATTCGCCCAGCCACGTCCACGTCATTCCCGTACGTTTGCGGTTGTATCTGGCCGCGCTGACCGTTTATCGACAATGCGACCGGCTATTGCGGCGCTCGACGGCCGAACGCGTTCACGGTTATCTGTGCGTCACCGGCACTGTGCGAATCGATATCGGGTGAGACAAACATTGTCTCAAAACGTCAACGGTCAACAATGAAAATACACGGACGACGATTATTTAAACAATAGTCGGTTGTCGAAAATACTAGTTTGCATGTTGCGCAACTGTTAACGTCAACTGTAATCGTCCAAACGTGTTCGTCGAGTATTGCGAAAGCACAATCGCATATTGGCAATAGAAATAATATCATAATAAATAAATACTTTATTTAATATTATGTACGATAATATTGTTGGTTTAACGGTTGATCTTTAACCGACGGCAAACGCGTTTACACGCCGGTATTACGCTGAAACCCGATTAATATAGTATTCAAGATAATTTAATACAACAACAATGATAAACAAAAAAATGTCGGACGATCCAAAACTAATCCGTGTAATATGTATGTGTCGTCATTGGCGCAACCCGAACGATTGTGACCGCTGGTCAAGATTAATTATCGCATATTAATATCGGTGCGTGTACAATAACGATACGCTGAGCTTGGAGTAAAACGGCTATTGTTTTTCGCCATAGGATCATACTATATAGTATTGTTGTATGTATACAGAGAGAGGCCGTTCGCGGTTCGCCGTTAAAACCCAAAGGGAGGTCTATCGACAACTCGCATAATAATGTTATCGGCAAATGGCCGTTACCGTAGTATTATTGTGTCCGAACCGGCTTTTGAACGCTCCACTGCCGGACGTGGCATAAGAAAATAATAATAATAATACATAATATAATAAATTATATGAACTTTGGACAGAAGGCAATAATATGCGTATATATACTGTACACTGTATGTATAATATAAATATACTGTATATACTCTGTGTAACACTCTATAGTGTTATGTTACAGTAAACTGTCGGTGATCCCACGTTTCCGGCCACAGCCATCGACATGTTGCACTGCCATAGTTGTATGCACTTTGCCCGGAACACCGGGATCCATTGCGTTAATTATACATCCCGGATCCGGAGTAGCGTTTGTCAAGACCGCGCGTTACACGTACATAGCCCGCGGGACAAATACGGGAACAGCGGACGAGGAGGTCGGGTCGGGTCGAGTCGAGACAGCACTGCGACAGTAGTGCGACGATGTGCATAATAATGTACACTATACTTGACGCTGTCCAAAGTTCCGGTCGGATATCAAAAGCGTCCGGTTGACCACAAACAGCCGTCGACCGATGCCCATCAGGATTGCACCAGTAATGGATTTATGACCCGGAGAATAATAGGGACCGACGGGATCCCCTCCCCCTGTTTGACCCGAGTAAGCCCAAAATTGATGTACATAAAAGCATTTACATTTGTTGAAATTGTGTCTAAAAGCTAACATTTGATTTTTAAAATAACGTTATACTTGGCAAGAAAATTTGTCCACGCCCATGACCTGTATTTACCTATCTAACCCATTTTAAATTACCTTTTGTACCGTATTAGGCAACCGACAGTCATCACTTCGTGTGCTACCGTGAATTATTCGATAAAATGTGATAAACGATAACCCAAACGGGCTCATGGCTTATTTATTCCATTCAGTGGGGCCACAGGCCGATATTGAATGGTTGACGCCACTTTTTTAATTTCAAATATTATATTTTAGTTATAATGGGTAAGGAAGGTTTAGATGGGTACAAAGTTACCTCTTCATTTTGGAGACGCCTGTGTTGGTTTCTTAATTCGTAACAAACATAATCACGACTCCAGTCTTTTTTTATTAAAATTGTATTCGTGTTTGTATGATTAGAAATTTGTATTTCATACAATACTTTAATTGATTTAATTTAATTTTATAAATACTATGTAGAACTTATATTGCTAATGGTCCAGCAAAGTCTGTCGCATTTGTTTATGATACATAAAACCTAAATTTAAATAGTGATTCTTAAGAACCGTGGTTATGTGTTTTTGAATTTCTATTTCTATTTGGATTTGAAGATTTTGTTTTGAACGCCATAAAACGATAGTACTGTTGTTCTTATTTGCAAAAACAATGAGATTATTTGTTGTATGAGTGAATTACTCAGATTTCTCGGTAGTTAAAAAATACATAATATAACAAACACAATTGTTATGTTCAGATAACGATGTTTGCACAAAGTATGACTCAGGCTGCAAATTTTTCAGCCTACAGGTTATTTAAAGATTAGGATAGCTTTAGTAAATAAAGTAAACAAATAATAATAATTAATAATACGTGCATTTTATTTTTATCATTTAAAAGAATATGGAGGTGAAATTTTAGCAACTTAGTAATGAGTTTTTAGGAAACAGTTTTGATCTTAATTAGTAATTATTTTATAAAATACAATACATGATATGGTTTAAATACAGGATATGTATTTTTTTTAAAGGAAGTTTTGAAGTTACAGGTACAAAAACATGAATTGTAGTAACTTCTGTTTTGCTTGATTAGACATTTTTGTGCTCTAATTTACAAATTCCATTTTAGACTTTCAAAATCAAAGTAGGTATATACGTTTTAAATTGAAAGCATAAACTAAACTATGGGTAAATACACGTTTTTAAAATTGATATTATTTCATTAGAATGTGTCCATAAATTATGTTACCAAGAAATTTCAAACAACTTTCTTTTTTTTTTATCACATACCCGCTTTGTGTAAAATAAATAAATAATATAATTATTAATTAAATAAAATTACTTCAGTGTGTATTTTATTGGTCATCGTAATTAATATAATATTGAACTATGCAAAAAAAAATTACAACCGACTTTAAAAAAGCTATTCGCGTTTAAGTTCGATTTTTTTTTAAGAAACCAATAATATCGAGTGCAGCCATATCTCTGCAACTAAAAGAAATCACGTTTTTCTTTTATTCAATTACAATTTTCATCTCTATTATACGCAGAATTGTACATTGTATTATTTTTTTAATGGCTCGCATTAGTATTTATAGTCCCATTTTGTTTAGCGTAATATTAGTGAATCGTATAAGAAGCTTTTAGAGTATGGTCTCAACTCTCATTTTGAATATTACCGATCATCAAATACATACATACAGTTACAAATGCTGGGTAAAATAAATAATTGTAATTTAGTTACAATGACATGCCTTCTTCGTTAAGGTGCAATGCAGACAAACATAAGTAATCATACTGGAGTAGTTTGATTTTTGGTGTACGGCGGTTAAGTATAAATTAAACGAATGCACCCGACCGGATCGAATCGGCTCTTTTGCATTTCGCCAAATACAATATACCTACATCTATTTCAGCGATTCTTGTATACATATATTTTCTTCTTCTTTGTTTATTTTTTTTGTTTCAATTTATTGATCATTGTTATCTTTTAACTGCCGTATCTTTCTCAGGATGAGACGACGCAGGCCGTGTTAGTCCGACCGTGAAATTTCCCTCTCGGGTCGTTTAACTGATGCAAACCATTTCTCGGCCCCCTCGTGCGCCGTCCCCAAGCAATATCACTTCAATTCCAGACATCAAGTCAGAAACTTTCACGGTGACCGCAGAGTATTTAAAAAAAAATCCAATATAGCGATTCCACGGCGTAGGTAGCATAAGGTAAATGTCGTGTTCGACATTTTTCCTAAGACGTCATTGGCAGAATCATGTGCAAATCACAATAATAACAATGTTATATTTTATCACACCACTACATTAGGTCGATCTTGCCGACGTCACCGCCGGCTGTTTCCCGAAGAAAATATAATTACTAAGGGTCCATACAATGATATAATTGACTCGGCCAACGATAACGTGTCATGTGCAAAAATTATTATCGATTCTATTATGATTTTTCTGTTTCTACACTTAGATTTAGCTCTTAAGTTTCCATGTTGTTTTTACAAGCGCGAGCAGATTTATGATTTGTTTGAGTCTTTAAAATTTTGAGTTGAGACCATAAACACGAATAAAGGAATGATTAATTTCTATTCAAGTTAATACCAAAAGGCATACTGATGTTATTCTGGAATGTTTTTAATTTTCTATTGTTTTCGCTTGACCCACGCTCACCATAAAAAAAAACAGTTAAACAACGCAAATTTACTTTTAAAATATTTGTCTAATTGACAGCATTGTATAATATAATTAATTTAAACAAATAACAGCTAATATGAAAGAGGCGTGATTGATAAAATTGAGGTCAAATGAGAAGATCTAGGATTAGCTAGAAAGCCTTAATGAATGAGCAATTGTTTTTTTGCCGTACAAATTTTTCGATGAGTTTATCAAGAGTAGTATTATAGTATTGTTGCCTGTATTGTCTCTTTTATTGGAACAAACACAAATAATAATTGTCGTACGTCGGCCGCCTGGAAAATGATATGTTGTAATATAGCGCTATATTACAGATCTGATAAGCAGATACAAATGAAGCTAATAAATTTCAATGTAGATTATCATTATACGGATCTCCCCGGGGTATTGGAAACGCGAGAGATAACATTTTGTAGGTATACACTATGTATGTATAGGAAAACTCGGAAAGCAAACAATTCCTCTCTGTTTACACAAAAGCTACAGCGGCCAGGTCGAATATTGATCTGCTTAGCCGGACACATTGTGAAGAATCGTGGCCAATAGCAGAGTCGACATTAAGTAATTGCATTATTGGTCCATACGACTTGTGTACCTTTAAGTCCAACATCCGATGTGAATCATTAGTTTGTCAGTAGCGCTGATGACGTCTGCCAACGGGTTGAAAACCATGACACACACCCTGATTTTCGTTTAACGACTAAATCTGTCAAGCCTAAGCAATAAATTATCATCCAATAATTAAATTGCACACAAACTTTGAGCTCTAACTCAAAATGGTGATGGCAACTGGCACATAACACACACTATACATGCTTCACACAATATCTGTTCATTTTTTTTTTTTTTTTTATAATTAGCTTTTATGTAACAAACTTAGGAATTGAAATTGTGTAAAATATGTAACTCGATGTTTACGGGCGAGTGTCGAGAAGATAAGGAACTGCAGTCCGAGATACGTATAAACTAAGAAACTAAGATAAGAGACTCGCCGGTGCAAGGTCAAGGTACACGTGCGAACGCTATTAATGCAAGCACCGAACTTGCACTACAACAGGTACTGCATTAAAAAAACACAAAATCGACAAAACGTGCCAGGATTTGTAAAAAAATATGTATAGTTACGTCGTTAAAGATGTTAATTTATAATTTTTTTTTTTTTTGAGACTAAAAATGAAAATTCTCGGCTTAAATAATTGGTCGTCGCTTATTCAAGTATATTTTTTCCGTAATATTACATAATAATGTTATAAACTGTTGTTGGTTGAGTGGTACTAAAGTTTGGACTTTGATTGTATTGAACTTTCAGGTCTTTGACGTTTTTGTTGTTAAAATAAGTGTTCGGAAATCTAAAATAAGGTAATTGGTTTCAGTTTTTTATGTCACACATTTCGACCAAAGACATAAAATAGGATAAGCTCTGCTGTAATGTTAAACTCTAAAAACCTTTCAAGGAAATCTGCGAGACCACCAAATCCACGTCGTTTGATAACTTGAAAT